TTCCTTTTCGACTAGCCCACTTTCCACCGACCACCCCACTTTTGCTCTATCTTGTTGCTGATGTTGCGGTTTCTTTTGTGCCGCCTTTGGAAACTACCCACATTTATAGTGTTGTGGTCGAAGCTTTTCCCTTTTCCTCAGCTGGTTGTCAACGCCAGCCGCAGCCCCAAGTTTCCCCTGTTTTCCACTGTTTTTCCCCCATTTTTGGGCGCCCTTGCTAGTCTTGTCTTGTCTTTTTTTCAACTTTTTCGTATTCGCATCTCTTTGGCTTATTTTACTTTGACTGACTCTCGCCACGGAGTCTCAATGTTTGGAGTGCACTTTACCCGGCCAACTTGAAATGAATCTAATAACTTGGCCCACACACACATACACATAAACGTACAGAGGGAGCAAAAACAATGCCCTGCATTTTTTCCTTTTTGGCCAAAAGCTTGTTGAAAAGCGGATTTTGTTTTGCAAGTTGCTCGAGTGCTTCGGCGGTTTCTTTTCCACTCCACACTTTCCGCATTGTTCCATGGCAATTGGAATATTTTACTTGAGGAATTTCCCGATCCGCAGCCGAGAACCAGTTATAAGTTTGCAGGCTGCCAATGTTAACAGCTCTATTAGTTCAATTTATTTGTCTGGCAAACGGGATGGAGGGGAAAACAACAATTTTCCGGGGGATGGAGACCGAAAAGAAAGCCTGTGACATTGCCAAAGACAAAAGTGGGCGGGGAGCAGGAATTCAGCTTGATTGTGTTTGCAATTTCATAAAATAACAATTCGCCAGCGCCTTGGCATCTTTCATCCTTGTTATTGGCGCCCTGATTGCCGCCGGCGGTTGTCGCTTTTCCTGGCTTTTCCGCAGGATCTGGGAATGGGAGTGGGGGCGGAGGTGGAATGGAATGCGTTCGTAAATAGCTGGCAAGGTGTGGGCCCGGCATGCGACGCCTCCATTCCCATACCAACGCAGGGCACAAAACCAAATCCGATGGTGGCAAGTGGGAAGTAAGAAGTCGGCTTCCTCCGCCTTCGCTCCTGGGGCATGCCAAATTCAATTCACACAAAATACCCGTAATTCAACACCCCACGGATGGAGATGAATATGCCACTCCACTGACTGATTGCTTTTGCCTCCAAAACAAACTCCCCCAGGGCGCATTGAAATGAGTTAAACCAAAGGCTGCCTGCCGCTCAAGTTTTCCTCGTTTTCCTCGATTTTGCCCCGTTTTTCCCCTGTCGTCGTTTCTCGACGACTTTCCCGTGTCTGAGATTTCAGCAGCACTACACAGGAGAAGCAGAAGCAGAATCCGAAGCAGCAGCAGCGACATCTCAAGCGACTCGTTGACATATTTGTATTGTATTCAATCGATGAATTTCTGCAGCTTCTTCGCCGCATGGCCCATAAGGGAAAATGACTTATTTTGCTTACGCACACACTGAACAAGTCCTCAAGCAGCAGCTTGCCGTCCTGGCATCCAGGCATCCAAGTATCCTGCCATCCTGCGCCGGGGTTGATTGCTCTCCCGCTCTTCCTTTGCTAGTGTTTTGTCCCTCTCTCTCCTTACTATACACCGAAATCAAAAATGTTTCGCCTTTGATTTTAAGTTATAATTTTCTTCTATTCATTATTTTATAATATTCGAATCCTTTTTAATACGCAATACTGGGAAATGTGGTATTGAATAATATTATTCTCTCTCTCGGAGATTCTATGCCTTCGAAAAAGAGTGGAAGCAAGAAAAAAAATAGAGGGAGAAAGCGCCTAAAGTTACATGATATCAAATTGAAATGCCGCATATCAAGCCAAAAATGTGGTCACAATATCAAATTGATCATCGTTTCATATCAATTTCTTATGGGTGTACTATTTTTGGCCAAAAAAAAGTTGACAAAACACCCTTTTTTACCATTGTAAATGATTCTAAAACAAATCTAATGCCCTACTGATATGAAAAGCCACAATTTGGATTTTCTCTTAAGCCCTAAACATTTCTGATTCCTCTTAACTTTGAAAGTTAGACAACAATTGTGAAATGTAATTTTAAACTATTTTTTTTTTCATTGTGTATGCATTGACATTCGTCCTGTTTCGGCTCCTGCTCCTCTTTCCAGCGAAAAAGTTTGCGCTACACATTTTTTACTTGGCTGACTGTCGACATTCGCGTTGATATTAAAATTTTAATAAACCCCTGCACGTTGACTGGGGGAATCTTCAGCTGGTCCTCCTTTTTGAGCTGCTTTTGCCTTTGCTTTTGCTCCATCTCCATTTGGTTGCTCCCCGCCGTTTTCCGCGCTTTTCCCAGCTTGTTGCACTTGACGGAAACGCGTCAGTTGGGCGCGCTCTCCCGTTTTCCCATTTTCCCTCGCATTTCCCTCACTCGAGAGCTCCCAATTGGTTTGGCACAACGCACATTTTCATGCGGCGACGAGACGAAAAACGAAAACGCCATAATGCTGGAATTGCCATATATATCTCGCACACACTTGTGCTCTGGGGTCCCAGCTGGCTGACAGCAATGATTTCTTTTGCCTCCACGTGAAAATCAAATCCCAGCCCAGTCAATGCCAATGCCAATTTGGTTGACAATTGCTTTTTTCGGTTTTCCCGCATGAATGACGGCTAATTGCTGAGGGGTCGGAGGGTCTCTTGTTTTTTTTTGTAGGTATATTTTTTCCCATCGCCGCTTTGCAAAACTACGAAATACTGCAACTTTAAGCCCTTTTCAAAAACCAACTGCCTGGCTTCCATGTCAGGCAAAAGCCAGACATTTGTAATCCATGTGGCTGTCTCCGGAATTGGCTTTGCGGCATCGGACAATTCACAGAAAGGCTGGCTGAAGCCCTAAGCGCGTTGCCCGGAATGAAATCAAATAAAATAGTTAGTAAATAATAAAACAGTCGAGCACTGGATTCGGGCTTTCGAGGATTTTCAAGTGGAATAGGGACTTTTAATGTCCGCTTAGGCTGCCGCTTTGCTGCCTTGCTGCTTTGCCGCTTTTATGGCCAACGGCAATAGACGAAAATTTTATTATAGAAAACGTCTTTGGGCTCTGAGCCCGAGGCAGTCAACAAACCATTAAACTCAAGTGTTTACCACAAGCCGAAGTCACTAGACACAAATCTAAAATGGCAGTTAGACAACTCGAGCGATGTGGGACAGCGGCTAATGTGGTTACAGGATGGGTTCGGGGCTCCTAGGTGAGCAGTCCTGCCAAGTCCTCGATCTGGGGGCTAAGTGCTTCGAGCAGTGCAATTTGGGTGTTTGATGGCAAATTTATTGCCAAACTGATGAAAGACGTTCATGGCTTAAATTGGGCTTGAGCGGGTTTCTACAGTGCGTTTCGTTATAGAAAAAGGACATTGTTTCTTGGAAATTCATTAAAAGGTTATATTATAACCCAGAAAGAACTTACATTTTAATGAAAAATACGAATGAAGGAGAGACTTTTCTTACTAAAATATGAATAATAAATATTTTACATATATTAGTGGTTCCAGAAAGGTATTTAGAAAATAATGTTTAAAACTTTCTAGATAAACGCAGGATACTTTAATATATTCCAAACTAATCATTGTAGTATAAAACATTTCAGGGTAGTTAGTCATAACATCCTCTTTAATTCGCTGAAATGAAGCCATTGGCCTTTTGAAACATTCATCAACCAAAAGTTGATGGCAGCACGGACTCCTCCTCATCAAAACTTCTAACCAAGTTGAGACCGCACTATAAATATATTTCAACTTATTTATGACCACTTTTCGATGAGGGTTTATTCGCGTTTACAGCCGGGTTATAAAATTTATGAGCCCGCGGGCCAGAGGTCGAGGATCAGGACAGTGAGACACGCGAATTCCGATGCCGCGTTTATTTTCCTGGTGCGTAATTATTTTTATGACATTTTTCCCTGCCTTTTTTAGTGGCTGAGGTGTGGGTTAGATAGCCGGGCCAATGGGCCATATGACCGCGGTCCCTTTGTCCAGCGACCGTGTTGAAGTGTTGGCGTTTGCCAAACAAATTAAAAGCAAATTATAACGAAGCAACGAAAATGAAACGAAACGAAACGATATTATCAGGCAGCCAGGACACAAACTAAATTTTAGAGTCCTGCCGGAGGACTTGGCGGATTCCCCCTCTCGCTGATGATGGTCGTTGGAATTTTAATTTCTGTGTTGTGCTTTTCACTCGGGCAATGCCACTTAAAGCGATTTACTTGCAAATCTTGGTAATGGATGGCAGGCAAGGTGAGAAACGTGCCCGAGGACCAGAAGTCCTGCGGAGGGTGCGAAACGTGCCTGACGTTGGACATAAATTAATTTATTGCGTGCGCGCCTGGCCAAGAAAACAAAAAAAAACGGAAAAAATGGGAAAACGCTAAGAACAAAAAAAAACTGAAGAAGGAAGGAAAACAAAAACAAACGGCGCGATTCGTTGAATTGTTTGAGCTGCCAGCATAAAAATAATTCATTGCATACTTTTTGTCGGGACGAGACCCAAAACATTCATTAAATAGCATTAATAATTAAGAGATGAGGGTGGCATTTAGGGGGTATTTAGATATTTAGGGGTCTTACAATGCTGCTTTATTGGCTCGCTGGCGTTAAATATATATACCTACATCATTTAATAAAGGCATTAAAATGAGTAATGTTAATGAAAGAGAAAGTCATTAACTTTCTTTTTTAAGGATTCCGTTTCCTAACTAAGAGAGGAAAAGGTTATGAAGGATTTTTTGATTATGTTTTAAATGTTGTGTTATTATTGATGTACAAAATTGAATACTGGTTGATACTAAAGGAACTGCAAGGGTTTTAGAATTTATTCTGAAAGTGTCTAAAAGTATGCACAAAAAAGAACATTGGCTCTCGAAATAAATGTTTCAGGCTTAGTTCTAAAATTTGTTCCATATTTCTAGATACTTTTATAAGCGAATTTATATCTCCAGATAATACTAAAAAGTTTCTTCTTCAGATTCATATTAAAATTTGAATAACTAGATATTCTTAGGACTTACAACTAGCTTCTTTGTTGGAATTGTGGCGGCTGCTGTCGTCGACAGCGGCGTAAACGTCGACTGCGGCGGCGGCGGCGGCGCTGCGACGGCGGTCACGGGCGGACTAATCGCTTTAATTGTCGCCTGCGGAAGCGGCGGCTGCTGAAATAACTCCGCTGGCTGCTTCACGTAGAACAGATTTACTCCAAAGTGTGAAATCTTGATGGGTTTTATAGCAACACCTTCGACAGGAAATGGGTGTGTGTGGGCCGACTTATGTGCGTCGGCTCGATGGGCTAAGATCGGCTGGCTGGCTGATCTTGGCTCTATGAATTCGCTGGCTGTTTATCTCTGTAGCTGTCTGCCGTAGCGGATTTTCCCTGTTTCGTAGGTTCTTTCACAACTTTTTAAGAAGCTCTAGTTTCGGTTTTTGTTTTGTCAGTATTTCTTAATATTTGTTTTGTTTTTGTTTTATTGAATCTGGTTTTAAACACTACTAAAGCTCAACGTTAGACAGCGCGACAAATGTCCTGCTCCTGTTTCGGATTTATTTTTTGTGGATTGTTGTTGATTGCACTTGAACGCGTTGGTTGCCAAAAACACACGGTGACAAAAATCTCAGGACGCGATTGCCGCTTCGTGCGAGAGAGTTTTTCTTTTCTTGGTATTTTTTCGAGGGCGGTTTGACTTTTTGGAGATTACTTTCGTGGATTAATTACTTGGCTCGATGACTCGATTTCGAATTCGATTTCCCTTTGGCTGTCGGCTGTTGTGGTTGTAGATTTCTTGGATTCACACTAGGCTACTTGCACGGTTTTATTTTTGCTGAGGAACAGAACGCAACGACTGCTGGACTCGCTTGTCTGATAACGACTGAAGGACTCTCGCGAATTGCGTAGGATTTTTAGCAACAGCCGAGCGCAGCGTGATTCTCCTGAACGTCGCTGCCGGCGTCGCAGTCGCCGTCGCGTCGCTTCGTTGCTGTAGCTGTTGCCTTGCCGCCTTGCCGATTTCCTTGCCTTTCCATTCCTTTCCTTTCAGTCGGCGGGCGGCCGGCGCAGAAGCATTACAACAGCGGAAGTGGTTAACAGAGAGAGCGAGCAGGACAATGGGCCGGGGAGTGAGAGAGCGAGCGAGAGCGAGAGCGCAGGATGCACCCCCACACGGATTGGAGCTCTGTTAACTGCCAGCCCACATAGCCGGCCAGGGTTGTCGAGTTGGGTCGATTTTCGCCAGGATAATAGGCAACAGAAGCGGAATCCTTACAAGTTTAAGGGGGAGAATCAGCTCCACACACAAAATAAATGCACCAGGAAAGAAAACATCTTTACAAAATATCTAATAGTACGCTACTTTTAACTGCGCCTGAGCCTGCTTCACACAGCATTTAATTGCATACCTTTAGATACCACTTTCAATGAAATCGAGTAAATAATTCCATAGGTTTTTCTGTTCCTTTTCTCATTTAAAATCAAATTATGTATTAAATTGATTTGTGTAAAAGATATCCTTGTAAAATGTTAGAAATAGTCATTAGAGCTTAAAATCAATGCATTTTGAATTTTGTCACATGCTAATGAAGCACATTACTATTTAACATTTACTTTCCCCTATCCTCAAAACTTTTACCGACAATGTTGCAATCGAAAACAAACAAACAACAAACATTAGACATTCACCAAACATTCACTTTCAGCAGCAGGAGAAATGTGTTAACAGCGCGAGAGAGAGCGAACTTTCTCATTGGAACAACAGGAGAGAGAAAGGAAAACGAGAAGGCACTTACACTCTCTCTCTCTCTCGAATGAGAGGGAGCCAAGGCGAGAGAGAAAGCCCAGTGCTCCACGCGCGTCATTGTTGCACCTTTATGTTTGTTTTCGTGGGTGGCCCGTACTCGCAGAAGAGAGGGATAAATGTGGAGAAAGGTGCAGGGAGAAGGGAAGAGGGAGCAGAAGGGAGGCGGAGACGATGGCGCAAACAAACAACAATAGCGATTTGAGTCGGCAGAATGTCCATGTAACCTCTGCAGAGGGTGTCGCTGATGTCCCGATGATTATGTTGATGAATAAGGATAATGCCGATGTAGCCAGGTGAGCCTTAACTCTTTGTCCAACGAATACACGATGAAGGGTTATGATGACTTCGTTTTAAATATACATTTTTAATCTGCGTGCATGATAAAACCAGTGGACTGCTACAGATTAAAATGTAAAACCTTATTAAATAGGCAATATGATTTCAATTTGCTTAGATATTATTACTCAATTTCAAAAAATAAATAATTTTTTGTAGATTTCATATCATGATTTTAATTTTAAAAATTATTGTTTATTTTAAAATTTTAGTAAACCTATTTACTAAACAAATTTTTTGAATTACTTGGTTTCGGTACCAAGTACTTTAAACTGAAATTATAATAGGATCATAATAAAAGTTATGTCTAAAATAATGTTGTATAAAGTGACAAAGCTAACCGAAGCCGTTATCATGTGTAATAGGTTTAATTATCGCATAAATACCTATCGTTGAAACTATCTTTGTTTAATCAGCATTAAAATCATCTTCAAGTGAACGAACATCAAAGTATTCCTTGCCTCAACCTCATTACAGTCCTCATCACAAGTATCTTCCCAGGCCGTATCTTCATTATGGGCATCTGTACCTGCATCATCAACATCGTCATCATCGTCATCATCGTGGGCACCGACGTCCTCGTCGTTCCCATTCTCCTCCATTGTTGTTCGTCGTGAGTCTCGTGCGTTGGTGAAAGTGTCAACTTGACATTGCCTGGAGTGCACGCGCCACCGCTCTCTCTCACACACAGGCACGTATCTGCGAGGACTCTCCAGCACACATACAGTTACAGCTACATCCTTACAATCCGCTTGCGTCAAATATTTTGTTGGCCCCGGGGCAATTGTTGTTGCTCCTCGCTGACATGCGAATAATGCTCGCAGCTGGGAATTTTGCTCTCGCCGAAAAAAGGACTTGCTTCCGCTCTCGCTTTTCCGCTATTTTCCGCTCTCGCCGTTCTCCCGCTCTCGGCGCAAACGCGATGAAGCCATTTCCCCTGGCTCCAAAGGAAAAGCGGCAGCGCAGTCGGCGGCGACAGAGGCTGCTGCCATGGCAGCTTTATCAGTGCCATGAAATGTTGTTCCCGGAAAATAACCCAAAGGAAATGCTGCACACACACCCGCGCAGGGGCTCATGTGTGTGTGTCTGTGTGTGTGCAACCAGCAGCAGCAATAACTGTGTACATGTAAATCCTGGTTTGTTTCATTTGCCGATTTGGAGCACCGTCCTCCGCAGCACCCCGCTCATCCGATCTCCCCGCGCCGAAAAGCCCGCCGGCACTAACTTTGTACGCTTGATGATGATAATAATGTTGCCCCTTGCCAGCTGCACTGAGAATAATAATTACCCATATAGGTAATGAATCAATACGAAATGGTTGATTGTAGAAGAATATTTGTTATTTTTATTAGTACTAATCAAATAAGTTCAGTAATAGTTACGTTCAAATAATTTAATAATAAACTTAGTGATGCCATTATAAATTTCAATTAAAATTGTAGCATCATTTAAAAGACATTTTAAAATGTTTAATATTTTATGAAAGCGGTGCTTAAATACCTACGACGAGATATTTATAGACAGTTGAAAGTATTTCTTTCCCTGCATCAAACGAACCGAACCCAAGCCAACCCAACCCAGTCCCAGTCCCTGTAGCAAACCCAAACCAAATCCTAGCCCCAGCCCATGCCAATCCAATCCAATCGCACGGCCACACCAGACATCGTCTATGGAAATTCGCATGCCGATTTTCGAGCGATTGCAATTGATTTGTAATGCATTTCATTGTTGTGTGAGTGCCAGTGTGTGTGTGCAGTGGGGATGGAGGAGCGGTGGTGGAGGGGGAGGAGGTATAAAATTTGTATTGATTATTTCTATTGCCTTTGTTCGCCGCTCGTCGCTTTGTTCGCCATCTAATGATAGCTATGGGGGCATTAAAAATGTCATATACAATAGTTTTTTGTTTGCAACCGAAAGCAACGGAAGGCATATAAAGCAGGACTTAAAGACCAGAAAGTGGACCAAGTGGCAGGTGCATGGCCATGGATAAATTGTAAACTTGGCCGCATAACGCCGCCTAGACACGCAGCAAAAATGGCAAAATTGGAGCAGAGGGGCGGCCATCAGCTGGGGAATTGGCATGTGTACAAGTCAATTATGGGTCAGAATCCACACAGGATTTGAGTTGAGTTTTGGGGGGAATCGTATCGAATCGAATCGAGTCGAGCTGAGCTGAGCTGAGTGGCAAACACTTGAAGATGACGCCAATGCCAATGTCGATGCTTCTCTTGGCTCTTCTTTGGTTTTCCTTGCTTTTCTCAGCTTTAGATTCGGCTTCACGGAGCAGCTAGCATTTTTATGAGTTTTTGGCTGCGCTCCTTTTTATGCTTAAGTTTGAGGACAATTCAGGGGTATATGAGGTGTATAACGACCACACACTTTTTGCTAATTCCGGGAACCAGGAGTAATAAGAGCAACAAAGTCGGTAATCTTGACTCCTTAAATCTTATCCAAGTCCCTTATGCGCTCAGAAGCAGAAAGAATATGCATACTCCTTTAAAGAGCAATTTTAAAGTTAGCCAAAAATAATTGTTCATAAAAAAATGTCAACAAAATATTAATTTTTTGCATGTCAAAAATATCATATGTAAATTGTAACTAAACTTTTACATTTTTGTATTTCCACATTCAACATTCTGAAGTTCTAGCAACATATTTTGGTAACACAACTTTTTCACCCACTTCTGGTGCCATGAATTGATTTTGACTTATTTATGGTTATTGATATTGACAGGAATTGTGCTACCGGGTATCATGCAGTCGTGGAAATAAAAAAAAATATTATACAATTCCTAATTTCGTATTTTTTGCTTGATGTAGCTGCAAGATGTGTGCGAGATGAAAGAAGGCTGGTAAGAAATGGCGAGCTCCGGATAAAGTGGTCGGGGTAAGCTGAGGCAGCAGCCATTGGCCATTGCAAATGAAACATGTTTGGCTTTATCGCATTTATTGACGACTCCGCTGGGACGTTTTGCTTGCCTTTTTCCTTAGCCACCGAAGCCAGATCAAACAATACCACATGGGAGCCTCTGGGGGGAGGCGAGCTTCTGGGAGGGGATTGCGCCTCAAATTGCGCTATCGAGCAGCTCCAAACAGACTTATAAAAACATTATTTTATGTGCATGTGTGTGAGGCAGAGTTAAGCGGCGATGGACGAAGTAAAATCACTTAGAAAAGCAGTCATAGATAAACAGCGGGAAATGATGAATGTGAAGGGAATCAATATGTTAACGTTGAATTTCCAATCGCTATTGATCTAAAAGTTCTTATCTAATGAAGTTAAAAAATGCAGTCGAACTTTTACAAATATCTAAACAAATGGAAGGGAAAAATAATAACTTTCATAACTTTTTTCCGTAGCTTTAATTGAATTCTTATTTGAAATAAGAGGGATGAATAAAAACGATTTATTGGATATGAATAAATAATTTGTGTTTATCTGGAAAAGCAAAACAAATTTTTTTCTGTAAGGGTTGCGCTTTAAAATTAAATAAATTTTACTAAACTTTGAAAGTCAGCATCAGGTGGCCTTAAAAAATCGAAACAAACAAATACACATTTTTCCTCAATATCCCAGTTTTGTTTTGGACGGTTATTGCTCTAGTTCTCGTATCTCGACTGCATTCCTTAACAGAATATGAATAAGTTATGACCAAACTACTGGGAAATCCTCCCTGGACATCCGGTCACATTTAAGCATTCTACTTGTTAAGAGCTTACGCCGCGCACTTGGCTTTAAA